TTAGGTTGTTTCTGTCTTGGTTAGTATAAATAATGCTGTAATGAACATTGGGATGCATGTATCTTTTAGAGTTAGTGTTATGCCAAGATGTGAAATCGCTAGATCATATAGTAGTTCTATTTTTAATTTTCTGAGGATCCTCCATCCTGTTTTCCATAGTGGCTGTACCAATTTACATTTCTACCCACAGTGCACAAGGGTTCCCTTTTCTCTACATACTCACCAACATTTGTTATTTCTTGCCTTTGGACAATAGTCATTCTAACAGGTGTGAAGTGACATCTCCCTTGATGATTAGTGACGTTGAGCACCTTTTCATATGTCTGTTGGTCATTTGTATGTCATCTGGAGAAATATCTATTCATCCTCTGCACATTTTTAAATTGGATTTTTTTTTTTATGTTGAGATGTATGACTTCTATATATGTTTTGGATATTAACCCCTTATCAGGGGTTACCTTTATCACATATAAGATTTACAAATATTTCTTCCCATTCAGTAGGTCGCCTTTTCATTTTGTTGATGTTTTCCTTTGCTGTGCAGCTTTTTAATTTGATGCAGCCCAACTCATTTTTGTTGCCTTTGCTTTTGGTGTCAAATCCAAAAAATCATCACTAAGACCAATGTCAAGGAGCTTACTGCTAATTTTCTTCTAGGAGTTTAAGGGTTTCAGATCTTACATTCAAGTATTTAATCTATTTTAATTTTTTGTGTTGGTCTAAGATAGTGGTACAATTTTATTCATTTGTGTGTATTCTTCTTTCGCAACTGTCCAGTTTTCCCAACACCATTTATAGAAGAGACTGTCCTTCCCCCACTGTATATTCTTTATTGTGAATTAATCTATCATAGATGTGTGGGTTTATTTCTGGGTTCTCCATTGTGTGCCATTGATTTACCTGTTTTTAAGCCAATCCCAGGCTGTTTTGATTATGATAGCATTGTAATATAGTTTGAGATCAGGAAGTATGATGCTTCCAGCTTTGTTCTTCTTCGCAAATGTTGCTTTGGCTATTCAGGATCTTTTGTGGTTCCATACAAATTTTAGATTATTTTATTTCTGTGAAAAATGTCATTGGAATTTGATGAAGATTCCACTGAATTTATCGATTGCTTTGGGTGGTATGGCCATTTTAACAACACTAATTCTTCCAATCCATGAGCACAACATATTTTTCCATTTGTGTCAATTTCTTTAATCAGTATCTTATAGTTTTGATTGTATAGATCTTCCACCTCTTTGGGTAAATTTATTCCTAGGTACTTTTTTCTTTTTGATATAATCGTAAATGATATTGTTTTCTTAATTTCTCTGTTAGTTTGTTAATAGTGTATAGAAATACAACAGATTTTTGTATATTGCAACTTATACTGAGTTTTTTTATTCTAAGTTTTTTTTTTTTGGTGGAGTCTTTAGATTTTTCTATATATATCATGTAATCTGCAAATAGTGACAATTTTACATCTTCCTTTTCAATTCATATGCCTTTTCTGGCTTAATTGCTCTGGCTAGGACTTCTTTGCTATGTTGATTAAATAGGGTGAGTGGGCATTTTTGCTTTGTTCCTGATCTTAAGAGGAAAAATTTTCAGCTTTTCCCCACTGAATATGATGTTAGCGGTGGGCTTGTCATGTATGGCTTTTATTTTTTTGAGTAATGTTCCTTCTATACCCACTTTCTTGTTTATCATAAATGGATGTTGAATTTTGTCAAATGCCTTTTCTGTATCTATTGAGATGAACATATGATTTTTATCCTTCATTTTGTTAATATGGTGAATCACACTGATTTGTGTATGTTGAGCCATGCTTGCATCTCTGGAATAAATCACACTTGATCATGGTGTATGGTTCTTTTAATGTATCATTGAATTTGGTTTGCTAATATTTTATTGAAGATTTTTGCATCTATAGGGATATTGTTCATAGGGATATTGGCCTATAATTTTCTTTTCTTGTGGTGAGCTTGTCTGATTCTAGTATCAGTGTAATGTTGGTCTAGAATAATAAGTTTGAAAGTGTCCTTCTATTTTGGGCAAGAGTTTGAGAATTGGCAATGTTTAGTAGAATTCACCAGTGAAGCCATATGGTTCTGGACTTTGGTTTGCTGGGAGGTTTTTCGAATACTGATTCAGTCTTTTTACTTATAAGTCTGTTCAGATTTTCCCCTTTCTTCTTGATAAGTTATGTTTCTAGAAATTTATCCATTTCTTGTAGGTCATTCAATTTGTTGGCAGATCATTGTTCATGGTACTTTCACGATCCTTTGTATTTCTATGGTATCAATTGTAACATCTTTCATTTCTGATTTTGAGTCTTATTGGTGAGTGTAGCTAAAGGTCTGTATATTTTATCTTTTCAAAAACCCAGCTATTAGTTTCATGATCTTTATTGCCTTTTTGTTTCATTTGTTTCTTCTGATTTTTATTTCCTTTCTTATACTAATTTAGGCTTAGTTTTATTCTTTTTCTAGTTTCTTGAGGTATAAAGTTAGGTTGTTCATTTGAGATTTTATTTTTTTTTAGGCGAGGCAACCCTTGGATGACCACAGATTGCAAGGACCTTGTCAGCTTACAATCCCTTTTTTTTTTTTTTTACACCTACAGCACCTGGTCTTCCTAGGTGGTTTCCCACCCAAGTACTAACTGGGTCCGACCTTGCTTAGCTTCTGAGATCAGATGGGATCGGGCTTGTTCAGGGTAGCATGGCTGAAGATGAGATCTTATTTCTTAATGTAGATATTTAGATCTATAAACTTAGACCTGCTTATGCTATATCCCATAAGTTTCGGTATATTTCCATTTTCATTTGTCTCAAAGTATTTTTCTTCTTTGACCCATTGGTTGTGCTGTAGCATGATCTATCCTGGAGAATGTTCCATGTGTGCTTGACGATATATATTCTGTTGCTTTTGGATGGAATATTCTATATGTCTGTTAAGTCCATCTGATGTGTCACTTAAGGCCACTATTTCCTTATTGATTTTCTCTCTGAATGACCTACCCACTGATGAAAGTGGGGTATTAAAATCCCCTACTATTATTGTACTATTTCTCCCTTTATGTATTTGCTTTATATATTTAGGTGTCTCTGTTGGGTGCATAATTATTTACTAGTGTTATATTATTCTCTTGGATTGATGCCTCCTCTGTCATTATGTAATGCCCTATCTCTTATTGGCTCTCGAGGACTCTAGCCAGCTTAGTGCATTTCTACAGCTCTCACTTGGGCCCTTAACGTATCTGGGAGAGTCAGCAAGGAATCAAAACCTAACTTAGAATTTAAAAGAAGTTAAGAAAAAGAAATCTCAGCATATAGGTTATAGAGGCCTAAATACTTAGAATATGTCCACAATGGCTTTGGCCTCCTGTGCTTTAAGAGGTTGTCCTGGGAGGGAGAAATTAGCGGTTTGGAAGGACTTCCTGTGTACTGCAGTCTAACTACAGCTCGTCATTTAACTTTTGTGTTGTGCTGAGGGTAAGTGTTGTTCCACTCGTTATACCTGAGAAAACTGAGGCTCAAAAAGATGGTCATTTGCCCAAGGGCAGACTGTCTAGTGACTTCGATTGAGGTAACGTTTGCCTGTTCCCCCTTCCTTACCTGTTAATGTGGACATACAGCATCTACTCTGCAGAGGGTTAGAGGAGATGACATGTGTAGTATGCCCGGCTGCTGGCTGAGCACACAGGACACCAAGGACGACGAGGTGTTCCTGAGGGGCCTGAAAGAACTGAGCCGACAGGGTAAAGCTCTTGACTGGTGTCTGCTCTTCAAGTTCTAAAACAGGGAAGGAGGCAAGTATCAGTTTGAGGCCCAGTAAGAACCTGGGCTCTGCTGTCACTGGAGCTCAGGCCTGGTTCAGTCCTTGCCTCACATGACTGCATGTCATGTCACCTTAGTTACTTTCCCTTTCTAAGCTTCAGTTCAACTGTAAACATGGACTGGGAGGGATGTGCCTATGGGGCCATGAAGGTCCAGTAAGGTTTTATGGCTCCTTCCCCACGGCAGCTCTAGAGGTACCTTCCGAGTTCTTCTCATTTTTTTTTTTTTAAATCAGAACAACTTATTCAAGATTGTCATCACAAGTAAATATATACACATCGTTTTGGCAAATATTTAATTCACAAATTCTACTTCAGAGCAATCCTATTATTCCTTTACTATAAAACTTGAAAAAATGTTTTACATTTGATGTTTCTACATCCTCCATGTTTACTGTTCACCCTACCATAATCTGCTTATTTACTCTCCTAATAAAACAGCTTTCATTAAGTTCTCTAGTAATCTCTTACTTACCAATCCTTATGGCTTGTTTCTCCTCACGTTCTAACTTCCAGTATCTTCTGCTTTTCACCTTTGCCAGTGGCCTGGCAGTCATTTCTTTGTGGAGGAGTTAAAATTAAGGTGAGGAGCCCTTTTACACTTCTCTTTCTTAAAGGCTCAGTTCTCTAGAAAAGGAGTCGAAAATTTCCTCTCTGACTCTTAAGACCCCACACTTTATTTCCTCAGAAGATTGTCACTATAACTTTTGAGTATCCAAAGAACTCGTTTGGAAGGCAAAGTGGGCCAAATGTCACTGAAATAGAACTGCTCTGAGGAGACCAAGGGTCTTGCAGTTTTAACAAT